TTTAACTTAACACCACTATCATCAATATTATCAATCAATATTCTTATAAATTACACATCGACCTTAATTCATGCATGTCATAATTCATTCATTCACATAATTTTAACTGACCGTCACTCCACATCACCTCTCTCATACTTTTATATCAAATCAACTGTAATTATTTTATTTTAAAAATTATTCTAATATAAATTTAAAATCTCTCTAACAATTAACCATATCATTTTTTTTCGAAATTAAACATAGCAAACCAAAATTTCCAATTAAAAAAAAAAAGAAACTATATCCAAGCATATCCAATGGACTCTATCAACAACCCTTCACAAACACGCATCATACTTAACAGTTTTGCTATGAAGTCAACAGTTGACTCTATAGTGGAACCAACCTTCTATATACAACAAGTAAACTTACCATATTAATAAAATCATATTAGTGTTATTTAAGTAATCAACGAATATGGTAGATTTACTTGTTATATATAGAAAGTTGGCTCCATTATAGAGCCAACTGTTGGCTTTGTAGAAAAATCGTCCTACTTAATTATCATTATCATGCATATCCATCAAATTAGACACATGAGTCCATGCCTGACTTCATTAGTGTCACAAAATTAGCCATAAAATTAGCGATTCTAATATAATTAGCACCCTAAATAAAAGATACTTAAGAATCTTACAAGAAGATAATGCATGTATATTTCTCAAATTATCTGGTTTTTAACTATAATTATAAATGCAATAACTTGGAAGTAAATAATAATTTTATATAGTGTCATGGTAATTAAATGACGGTTTTGCTATGAAGCCAACAGTTGGCTCCATAGTGGAGCCAATTTTCTATATACAACAAATAAACCTACCATATTAATAAAATTATATTAATATTATTTAAGTAATCAAAAAATATGGTAGGTTTACTTGTTGTATATAGAAGGTTGACTCCACTATAAGGCCAACTGTTGACTTCATAGCAAAACCGATTAAAAGAAATCACATTTGAACTATAAACACTATGTTCATGAATTGCTATTCCACTCCACATATATACAATTCGTGCACAAAACTTGATATTTAAATCGCTGGTTTACATGTTTACTATAGTTTTAATTACTATAATAATAATTATTATTATTTAAAAAACATGACATTCAAAATAAAACCATCTATAAATCATTCATAAACTAAAATGTTTTGC